GGCCCACCTGCTCGGCCCACCTGTGGGGGCCCTCTGGCGTGGCTCTAGGCGGCTTCCTAGGGCGGTGGCTGGGCTCCTACTCCTACTTGTGGCTTTGCCACACCCTGAGCCCGAGGCCTGGGCACCCGTGGCACCGTTGTTGCTGCCTCCCACAGAACTGGCAGTGAGGGCTGAGGCCTCCCTCCTGGGGGCGGAGGGGAGAGGGAGGCATTTGGGACAGCAGGAAAGGGGTTCCCGTCTCCTTGACCCCGACTTCCACGGAGGGGCCAGGAAACGGGAATGTGGGAGGGGCAGCGCCGTGGTGGGCAGTGCTCACGTGCCGAGTGGTCCCATGGGTGGGAGGAGGGTGGTGTGGGGAGCTCTGAGCCTCGGCCCCTTTGGGTCACGGCGTGTGTCCATGCACATGTCCTCACTGCGGACGGTCTGGGTGTGTGCAGGGTGACACCGTCGGGGTGGCAGTCCCATATTCTCAGGACCTGGCTGGTACATGGGGGGTCGAGGGGGCCTAGAGAGGGCCCCGCCCAGCCCGCCATAGCCACACCCTCTGATAAGCCCACCACCCTAACTTTTATGTGAAACCTCATTGTTTTTCATGTTGACGACTACTTTTAAAACTTTATGGGCACAAGTTGAGTCAAACAAAACGCTCGAGTGCACGACTAGCCTCCTAACCCCATGTTATAGCCTCGGAGGAGGAGCCGAGGTCCAATGGGGGTCCCCTCCAGGCTCCCCCGCTGCTGGCTGAGCGGAGGGGCAGCCCAGCGACCTGTGTCTTGTCTCCTCATCTGGGAGATGGGGACTGCAGCACCCCCGCTGGGCCCCTGTGCCAGGTACCTGCCGCCATGCCCCAGCCGTGGGCACGGGAGGGTGAGAGCCTGCTGGGCCCGTCAGCACCCACGCCTGCATGTGTAATGGTGCCCCAGGGCACCCCGAGCTCGCAGCCTGGACTGTGTGGCATGTGGGTGTGGTGCCGACACCCCGAGGCTGCAGGGAAGTCATTTCCCTCAAGGAGCCGGACCGGCTCTGCCCATTGGGGGTGTTGGAGCTGCTGGGGGCCTCCTGGGGCCTCCTGCATTGGAGGGAGAAAGGCAACGCCTGCCCCTCCCGGGCCTGCCCAGCACTGTGGGCGCCTCAGCCTCCAGAGCCGGCCCTGCCCCACGAGGCCAGGACTCCTCGGGGCCAGTGGGCAATTTTTTTATTGATTTTAGAGAAAGAGGAAGGAAGGGAGAGAGCTCAAGAGATTGATTTGTTGTTCCACTTACTGATGCGATCATTGGTTGCTTCTTGTACGTGCCCTGTGGGGATTCTAACCCACAACCTTGGTGTACCAGGACGAGGCTCTGAGTCTAACCGACCGAGCGACCCGCCGGGGATGAGGCCATGAGGCCAGGCGATGTCCGCCCAGCTCTGCAGGCCTGGGCTCTGGCCGCCCTCTCCCTTCCTGAGGCAGCGGGCTGTGCCTGCCCGGGGGCCGCTGATGCATTGAGATGGTTTAATACTGAACCAAGGCAGACGGGGCTCCTGGGTGGCTGGCACAGTGTGTGTGTGTATATTGGGGGGCAGGCGGGGGTGCACTCTACCACCAGGTGAACTTGTCAAAGGGTGAACTACTCAGAGGCCTCACAAACTCAACTGCGGGGCAGGCCGAGGTGGGTGTGGGGCAGGGAGCCCCGCCTGTGAGGGGGGCAGCCCTTACGGAGCCCAGCTGAGGGCAGGGAGCCCCTCCTCCTCTCCGAGGCCCCAGATATCAGGAGGGACCCCTCTCCTCCTGGCTGCCCCACCCCCACAGAGGGAAGGGGGCCAGGGCGGAGAGGGGCAGGAGGGAAGAGCCAGGCCCTCCAGAGGCGGCCCCTGTTGGGGGACCCTGTCCCTGCCCAGCCTGACCCAGGCCCACCGGGGTCTGAAAGGCAAAGTGAGAAGCAGCCCTGCCCTCCAGGGCCCAGCGCAGGGACCTGGCACCAGAGTAAGCTCAGAGCCCAGAGCCCCCAGAGGCAAGAGGGTGGGGCCCCGGTCCCCCCTGAGCGGTGGGAATGGGAGGCCTGGCCTGTGCGGGGGACCCCGGGCGCTGCATGGGCGCCGCGTGAACTGCTGCTGTTGCACAGGAGGAAGAGGATGGCGGGGCCACGGCCCAGCCCGTGGACCAGGCTGCTGCTGGCAGCCCTGCTGAGCGTCAGCGTCCCCGGGGACATGGGTAAGTCCCGCACGCCCCTGCGGCACCCCTCTTGGTAAGGGCACCCCGTCCTGACACACCCTCACACGGGGCCTCTCAAGGGGCGTCTGGCCCAGATACCCACTCGGCCAGTCAACAAATGGCCCTCGGCCCACAGTGGGGGCTGCGGAGCCAGGAGCCCTGTGGCTGAGGGGAGGGGAGGGGAAGGGAAGGGAGGGAGAGAAGATGCCCATTCTGGGAATGGGGGCTCTGGCAGGATGTGCTGAGGCCTCGAATCCAGAGGAGAGACGGTGACTCATCACCTGCTGTCCCTGTGCCAGCCCCTCCTACCCATGGCTGCAGCCCCTCCTCCCGTGAAATTTGAAATCTGGCCGGTGGGTGGTGGCCATGTTGATAGGGTGAAGTGGACCTTGGGCAATGTTTACACCACAGGGAATGGCAGCGGCTGCTCCTGGCCAGCTCCATTGTTAAACAGTGACAACAGGCCATAGCCTGGGGCCCAGGAGACCACCCACTGGGCACGCTGGGTGCGCATAGTAGGTCTTCACTGTGGTTTTAACTGGATAGAACCAAAGGGAATCCCAGGAGTTTTAGCTCATTCATTTGCTAACAACCGGCTGTGAGTCAGGCCTTGGGCTAGGCATTGGGGTGAGTGAGGGGGTGGCCAGGGCATCCCCACCAGCAAACGGGCCAGCACCTCTGTCTCGGCCGCCACTGAGTTGTGTGGGAAGCTCCAGGCGTGAGCCCCGTTTCTAGCTGTACCCCCTGGGGCAGACCGCGCAGCCGCTGCCACCTCCGTTTCCCCCTCTGTGAACTGGGGGGAGACCGCTCTCTCGTGCAGTACAGTGGGGAGGGCCTGGTCTCAGGGAGGTCGGCTCAGTGGTCTGCCCGGTCCCCGCCCAGCCAACCGCTGCCGGAAGGCCCAGGTGAAGAGCTGCACCGAGTGCATCCGAGTGGACAAGGACTGCGCCTACTGCACCGACCAGGTGAGCCCCGGCCAG